ATCATCGTCTTGCCGTAACTCGAGTATATACCGGTCGAGGTGGCGAGATAAGTCCCTACACCTTCCATGACTCGACCTCCGGACTGGATAAATGGATCGAGCTTCTTCGTGTCTTCGCCGTTCTCAATTGCGGAAAATACATCGTCGGCCGGTCTCTTGCGGATGATGTCGGACTCGCCAGTTGCCTGCGATTCGTCGCACTTCACATTGAACCCCTGGATAAGGATACCGTCTACAGGGATCAGATCACCAGGTTCCAGGTGGACGACATCGCCGGCCAGAAGGTCATAAACGGAAATCTCGACGGTTTTGCCTGAACGGATCACCTTGACCAGTCGATCTGACTTCTTTCGATTGAGCCTCGCAAACTGCCTTTCCTTTTGCCAGTCGTTTAAAGATCCGACTAGGACCACTATTACGATAGCGACGATGATGGCCACACCTTCGATCCATTCTACGGAAGGCTGCCCATCCGGGTGCTCGCCACCAAAGGTTTGGTAAAGGCCAACGGCAAGCGATACAATCGCCGCGACGGAGAGGAGGATCAGAACCTTGTCGTTGTACGTAATCCACACCAGCTGCAAAAATGACTTGCCCTTCTTCTCGGGTATCCGGTTGTCCCCGTAGACTCGTTTCCTATCGACGAAAGACTCGTCGGATCCATGCTTACGAGCCGTGTCGGAACGGGTAACTGGTGTCTGCGGGCTATCCAAGCCTTCGTTGGCCAATTTGGACAGCTGCCGGTTTGTCGCCTGCTCGAACGAGACTTTCCCATCCAAATGCTTCTCATCAGGACTCAAGCCCGTATTGCGATTAGAGCGCAATCCCTTCTCCATTCCAACGAGACCTCCAAGCTGGTAAAAGGCAGATAAACTTTTCGGGTTGAACATCTTCGTGAGCTGTCCAGGGCTGTAGGCGAAGGGATTGTCTTCGACCTGGAAATCAGCCTCCTTGCCCTGATCCGGCTTCAAAGCAGACTCGTCCTTCATTATCTTCTCATTGTCGAAAGAATGTTTCGTTGTAGTGCTCTTCTCGCCCTGCCACGATGTTGTGCCTGTCACAGTATCACCTTGCGATGAGCTTATGGATCGCGTTCCATCTTCGCTATCGACCGAGTTTTGCCTTGACCGGTGATGGTCTGGTACAGAGAGAAAAGCCTGTCCCTTCTCAACACCCCTAGAGGCTACCGGGCTAGAAACATTGTGTGGACTGGTCGGCCGGCTATCTCTGGTACTATCAAATGATTGCGCTGGCCGCATCTCACCCCTGGAGCTTGCATTAGATAGTTGATGAGACATAGGAACAACAGGTTTCTCTGACGAGGCCCAGTTTGGTGTTTGTGCCGTCGGGCTTATCGATTCGTCTTGAGGTGATATTGGTGAATGCTGGGGGATATTGGCTGCGGGTTCGGTGTCGTTCGTTGTGTCAATTGTAATAGTCGGACTGAACATCACGTCAGCATACTCGAGAACACGCCTAATAGCTGATAATATACAGGTATCGAGTTGGTTGAACTCACGCTCTTGCTCTCCGTGGCGTTCCCTCGGAACCGCTCTTGCTGGGGTCCGCCATGGCGCGTTTGTGGATATGGAATCAATACTATCGATGCTGAAGATCGATCAGAACATCCAACGCGAAGGAATAGTCTAGCTTTAGCACAGCCTCGTGAGAGGCAGAAATGCAGGCGTATGCGGAATAGTGCGCGTGTAGAGACCGGCCATCGACGAAAGGCAATTCTCGGTGAGGCGAGGCTGAAGAAGGGTATCGGAGGAATTGGAAATTGTAAGAGGCAGTTGGTATCCGATCGCCAGTGGATAGACTCTGAAATTAAGAGTTTCCAGATTTTACCAAAGCTCAAATAGTATCCGCTCAGACTGGGGCGCAGTTGGAGTCTCTCGTATAACGTATTTGTTTACCGCGCTCCTCCTTGTTACTTCGGTGCTCTGAACGTCCGAATGTCTCGACCACAACACAACAAATTCGGGGCCGGTGGCTCAACCAATTCGTGTTTTCAGGATGCTTCTGGAGGAGGGGTTCGTAGGCAGCTGTCAACAAACAAACGGTCGTTTCGACGGTCGTAAGGTAGGTCGAGAAGGTCGAGAGGGTCGGCAGACGGTGGGTCTAGGCCTTAGAGTCGGCAATATAGATGTCTCGCAAGAATGATGAGGTGTGTAAACAATACGACGATGATATGTGAGGAAGATGGCAAGTTATGACATGTTTCGGGAAGGAGTCTGTAACATCTAAACGAGGCACATAATATCTGTCTGGTAAGCACCTTAGGAGAAAAGAATTTGACGTGAATTGCCGTTCGCAGAGAGGAAAAGGTTGTTGTGATTGAGGCTGTGCAAACATAAATTGGCACCTATTAAAGTTGATCGCGCTCCCTCGCTACAAGAAGTAGGGAAAGGGGAATTGCCACATCAACAGATAATAAGGTTCATACGGAGATACACCCGTCAGTCAATGCTCTGGTACAATTGGCATTGACAAAGCAGAGATTGGCGATTTTGGTACGGGTAGAGAGGCGAAAGAAAAGGCTGAATTACTGGACAGAGGCCAGAGAAAAGGAAGTCCGCCTTTGTTTGGAGGTAGCACAAACAGTACAGATATCACAGGCCACCCTCCGTACCCGAGGGCCTGGAACCGTAGATGCAAGCTAAACACAAACAAAGTGGTAGAAAGGGAAAAGGAAACGGGATCTTGAACAACCCACGGGAGAAGGAGTGTGAATGCAAGTTGGATGATTACTTATTATCTCTTACTCAAGAGGGATGGAATACTGGAAAAGAAGAGAGACAAGCAAGCAAGCTGCCTTACAGAGAGTTCCATCAATTGGGCCAATAGGGTTACCTGTAGTAATTGTATCCATAGGTATCTTCAGTACCAAGGCGAGCTAGGATGTACTCGGCCAGGGGTCCATAGTACGTGGGAGTGACTTTGATTGCATAGCCGAAACGCGCTGATGACAGCATTGGCGGAAGTTATCCTCATGTCGCCTACGTAGGTAGCTACGTAGCGTACATTATACATTTACCTATTGCTCTTAGTTGAGAGCATGTGCTGTAATTCGTACTCCACACCGGCCAATTGCTACCTAAAGGTAACCATTGATCATTGATGTGGCTAGACTTTTTCCGCGAGACATCATCACCAACCCTTGATTGCCGCTTTCAATATTTCATAGGTCCATGACTGGTATACTGTATTGCATTGTTTAGTTCAGAGCCTATTATTGATTGATTATCACTTGGCACAGCAAAACCTGGTCCGCGTGGTCGGTTTTGGACTCTTGGTAAATTACAGAAAAGACAAAAGACACCTGGGTATGGGGCCCTCTCAAAAGTCCGTGACATTCCCTCTCCCATTTCCCTTATATCCCCAACCCATCTACAACAACTGAAAGCTGGAAATCCCCCGTTCTTCGCTGTTTAATCCCCCTCCGAGATACAGCGCATACGGAATGCTCTGTATGTACGTACACGTACGTGCCTACCCTTTTGCTCCGTGAATTACTCGTCATGAAGAAAATTACGCAGCATTCGGCGAATTAAAGGTGACTTGGCCATGCCAAAAATTTGCCAAGGGAGGCTGTGCAAACTTATCGACCGGCTATGACCCTTGAACGCAATGAGATTCAAATTTCAATACCTATCGTGCGGGTCTGTTCATCTCGATCTACATATCACTCAGAGATACACAGCTTAGTGGCATTTACTGGCCTTGATTTAAATTTTGCCTCACTCAGGAGAGGTCCAGGTTGTCTAATATCCAAGTCACGATGCAAGATGTAGTTCAGCTGCCTAAGAAATTCCCATATACATATGTGGCGTATTCCAAATACGGCTCTAGCTGTCTACTAAGCTTCAGCCTGCTTTGTGTACGTACTTGTGGGTGATACCAAATGTCCTGCATCACGTGATCCTAATTCGGTTGCTACTACAAACGGACCTCAAAACGGTCCTCTTGGTTGTAAGCCTGTAGTGATCTTATACTTATACTTCAAAGTCATCATTAATTATGAATATGCTCTGATTTATGGTGAGTGCGCTTGAACAGCCAGAAATACCTGATCCAAGTACGTACCTACTTTGTATTGCATTTCATTCAGTGTTCAGAGAGGATCCTGGAGTTCATACGATAGGCATTTCTTTACGTCAGGACACATGTTTTATATCCACTTTCGAACCAATGTTTAATACAACTTTCCAAAGCACTGCCAAAATAGAATCTTTCCCAAGATGCCAGTTTGGATGTTTGCAGATCGTAAAGGTAGGTACCCCGTACAGAGTGGCAGCTATTAGTTGGAAGCAATAGATGATGAGAGAAACCAACACCATCCACATAGAAGTAGAAGATCTCAACTAAGTATTGCTTCATGTCAATCACGTTTACAATTCTTTCATCTCTTATATTACACGAGCATACCACAAGTATTTAGGTACCTGACGACAATAAGACGACTGAACCATTCACAGCGACCTTTCTCTGTTTGTTTCTGTTTCTGTTGTATATGGGAACTACTATATCGACTCGGGGACCGCAGGAGGTTATCACAATTTTAAGTCTATTTAAACATATCCAGTAATTGATCACAAACGTGTGTCTGGGTGTTCGTTTTAGACTAAGGCTAGGTAATTTGAAACTGATCTAAGCAGCCATTTGATCTAGAAAGTCAAGTATCTGTTTGTACGCCGCCCAGATGGCAACGAGCAGTTATTGTTTTCCAAGAGTAGGCTAGGCCAGCTTCATCAATATTCGACATAATACTCAGCTTCGCGGATGTCTCTTTGACTACTATCTCAGTAGGCTCGCTGAGTTGTTGATTCCCTTTGTCTTAATAGAGCAAACCAAACTTACGGCACTGGAGACCTCCACTATGTGAGGATCCGTAATACTTGTCGAATTAAACCAGCCCATGCCTCCGAAATGGTAACCGAAGGGATCCATCTATTATGTATGGGAAGTAACTCACGATTCAATCATTGACAAATCAAAATGGCATCTTGGCGGAGTGGTTAACGCGATGCCCTGCTAAGTACTTCTGGGTATTTAACGGTGGGAGGCATTTCCTTCGGGAGCGTAGGTTCGAATCCTGCAGATGTCGTTTCTATATATTTTTGAAATTTCCTGTTTCCTTTTATTATTATTAGGAGCACTTCTCCTTATTCCTCTTACCGAGTCATCCGCTGGAAATGGCTTGGCTCTTCAGGATAAAGGATGGAAATCGAGACCAACAAATAAAAGCCTAGCAAATGGCTTCTGGCCCAGAAGAGCATTGGATTATGTGTACCTATTCAATACTGTATGCTGGCGTAGAAGATAAATCCATGAAGTTCTCAAGTATTTTGGCAGACAGGGCGACAAGACTGCTTCGAAAAAGCGATTTTATACGTCCGTTTGTTATGTTCGGTATTACGGAGATAGTAATTAGATGCTGTACGGTCTAATTAAGCAGTTTATGCAGTTTAATAAGCTAAAGTAACTAAAAGCGGCACGGACTGGGAAATCCCGCCTCGACAAAACTTGAACGCTAAAGGGCTTTCACTTGGGTGCTACCTACTACCGGTACAGCGGTGTAACGGAGTGCATGGCTATGAGGATTATATATGATTATACCTTTCCGGAAGTCTATAGAAGTTGACAGCCTCTCCGAGGGCTATTAGTTAAGTAAGTTTGAGTGAAGCAACAAGGAGGCAAACATCGCAGCATACGAGTTACAGTTGAACTGTTTCTTCTCCTTGTATGTAGATACCTACCTACGTATGTCTGTATGCATCTCTAAAGTACCTTATCCCAAGAAATCGACCTTCGTAGCAAGTTCAAAGTTGCGGTTTGTAAGTATCAGTGTCTGACCGTGGTTAGGCTTCACACACTGACACAATACCCAACTCTCACACCTAATATAATCCCCACTTGGCAATATGCCTCGTGTTCAGCCAAGAGGTATCAGGCGTAACTCTGGTCAGGAACAGCATACTCTCTCCAGATGCAACAACCCATACTTACCGACATTATAATCGTCGTGGCATCCAATGCCAAAGTGCCAAAGCCAGTACCCGTCCCCCCTTCGTTCCACTTATCGCTACTACGTACATACTAAGATCACTGTTGTGCAACGTCACAGACAAATCTGCCCAGCCAGTTGCGGTCAGCCTCGCTGTCGCAGATAGGAGCTGGTCCATACACCACTAAGCAGGAGGAGCAATAACGTATTGACTGCACAAGACTCACGGCTCGTCCACGTGGTCCTCTGGGAGTCACTCTCATTGGATTCTGGAAGAGGCGTCGTTTTGCTTGTTCTACCGGTCGCGTGGTAGGCAGCGTTGATGCTACGCAACGCCGGTGCTTCATTTGCTGATAGGGGGATGGAGGAAGAGGTGGCTTGCAGCGATGAGATGCAGGCTCTTAGTAACCCCGACTTTTCTCTCTTTCCACGGGAGGAAATTACTCGCGACGCCGCAATAAAGGCGCAAGTCCATAATCTGTTTAGCCAAATCGGCGCTGGAGATTCGCATGTGAAAATATGGGGATCGGCGGGAACTTTATCCATCAGGCGAGCGTGTCACCGTGTTTCCGCCAGCCCGCGCCTTGGATTCTTTTATTACGTATGATCCAAGCTTTCAATGCTAATGGTGTCGATATCTTAAGACTTAAGGTACGTACTCATATCGAATCTCACATCCAATGTATACATGTATTATGTATGGACAAGAAAACGATTACCAGAAAGAAGTAATATCTCCGATATCACTCATATTACGGGTGTGTGGCTGTGTCAAGCACTCCTTAGAGTCCGGTCTGTGGTTAAATCGGTAAGTCAAGCTTGATAGGCCGTCCGAATCAGACGAAAAGGTCTTCAGTTGAGAGCATCCCACAATCCTTTCTTACCTTCCCACCTACCTCGCTCGAACAGGGGGACTTTTGTTTGTTCCGGTGCGTAGCAGTACAGTGTGGACTAGTAAGCATCTGCATGGGGTCGTCGAGAGATTCCCAAGCTGCCGGCGCCACGGGCTTTGCGTCGAACATTCGTCTGATTGACATATTTCTTCGACCGCGTGCGTCCTTAGTGGCCCCATCAGAAGCCATGAGTTTCCGGGATGTCTAGTTGCGGCTCAGAACCTGGGTTAGAGGTAGGGTTTCGGTATGTTTAAAATGCAAACGTTTAATTCGGTTTAATTCGCGTTTTATATCGTGTTTTATTTTAAGAAACGTTTTTTTTTAGAACCGGATTATTTTTTCGGCAATTACGAGATTACCCCGTTTATTTTTATATATAAATTTAAAAAATATTTATTTTAATATATTATATAAGTAATAAAAGTTTATATAATAATAATTATATAAAATTATAAAAATATAATAATAATAATATAATTTAATTATTATATTATAAACTTAATATTTAATTAAATATATAAAATACATTTAATTAAATATTTAAATACTTTATTTTTAAACGTTAAATAAGTTAAATATTAAAAGACCGGGTAAGTTATTCCAGCTCCGGCGAATAAAACCGAAAAACACCGAATTAAACGTGTTTTACAGGGGTCGCGTTTAATTCGCGTTTTTTATTTTAAAACACGTGTTTTAGAAACCCTAGTTAGAGGTATGTATGTATGTACGTCGTAGTAGTAATATATTTACAACTCTCGTCGCCCTCTCGTGGCTCACATAGGTAGGTACATATGTTCTCCTGAGTTTCAAGTTGCTGAGTGCTTACGGCCAGACGCATGAGATGGTTGTAAGGCCAAGGTGAAGCCTACCTCGGCAGGTGTATAGAAATATTTCGCGACCAGATCAATGTCCATCTATGTACATACCTATGTACGCATTATAGAAGATAACCATCTACCGTCATAGACATACTATACATCGTAGTATCACTGCAGCATGCCAACTTACATCTGCAATCGAGAGGCACAGCAATTAACCTATGTTCTGATATGCGCCAAGGCTGAGGTTCTTCTCTCCCCTTTCCATCGTCGTCACATCATCTATCTTCCCCGTGGGCTTATTGCTTCCGTCTTCAAACACCATATATTAGAAACATGACAAATACCGTTTGAAACACTCGATCGGACCCGTGTGCAAAGTGATATCTCAGATATAAAGGGAGAGGGCTGATACACATCCGCGGGGCTATGCGGCTGCTGTGCGCGCTCGCACCAGGTGATACGGTCGGCCACCTACCTCATAGACACTCGGGCGAGATTCGCTCAAATCTTGAGTCCCGCCGGCTCCCTACCACGGACAGTATTGAGCAGCCGGGTTCAGAGCTGCACTCTACCGCCCGCCCAACTAGGACCTCCATTGAGGCTGCTCAAACTAGCTGCCTCCTAGTCACATAGCGCTAGTTACATCCGTGTGGCAGTGCAATGGTCCCGAGTCAGCTCATTTCACTAAACGTCTTGTCCACCGTCATCCATTGTGTAGGAACATCGGTGGCCAAGTTGAGGGGTCAAGGAAGATATCGAAAACAATCCAGCCTCCGGATAGGAAATCTCTTATTATATCGCTGACCTGGGTAGTTACAGTAGGCATATGGGCATTCATGGATCAGTGAGATCCAAGAGCATCACAGTCTTGGTCTGGTGGAACTGGGCCCCGGCTTGAGCTCGTACGAAGCCAGCCAGTGAAAGGGACATCAGCGAGACAATACAAGACCTTGCCGCGCTTTAGCTCTGTAATCCCGCAACCATACGAAGGCACCACTAGGATCGCTCCCTACATAGGGAGATAGTCAAAAGAGAGAACATTGAACTCTTCTCGCGCTTCGCCATGTTTCACATGAAAACTGTATCTGATATTCCTTGCTTGCTCTACGAGTCGCTCCGATCCATTGGAGCTGTCATGAAGCGTACTGATATGCAAGGCGTAGCACATTTACGTGAACCATCAGATGGTAGTCCTCTCGCCATACTCTTTACCAACTTCCGGAGTGACAGCAACATGATGCTTAGACACGTAGGTACGTAATGACACGATCAGTCGCCACCTTTAGAATACGTCCTTGCCTCTACATTGAGCAAGTTCTTTAGAAAGTAGAAGTGGTCCATATACTCCGCCTCCCAAGCGAGACACCATGTTCCACGACATGGACCGTACGATCCGCTCGTTCCACTTCCACCATGTAGTTTATCGTTGTAGCATGTGAACTTCCGCTGCTTCGTAGCCAGTATACACAACAAGAATCTGCGTACGTCTTTATACACATATATACGAGCGAGTGAACAGAGAGTCCGCATCATAGCAAGGTTTGTGCCACCCATACGCTGCGGCCATCAATCCAGAAAGTCGTTAGTCCATCGATCCTCGTCAGACGGTCATACTATGCTGGCGGATATTTCCTACTCGACTTGAATGTGCAGGGTAGCAGGACAATTTCTTCGTAAATCAGTATCTTTAGAAGACCGCGTGTAGGGAAACGGGCAGAAAATCAACCTTGCGGACCTACTATAGCGGAAGAACAAGTCACGAAATAAATAACCACCCGAAACATTGACGGCTTTATAGTATCTGGCCTTACAATCGTCCCCAGAGGAGAGGACCAGAAGCTATAGTTGTCCTTGCCATGGAATTCACCCTGTTTGGGTCCAGTTTATACGTGATATGCGGAGGAGACGTCGGGATTGCAGTGACCAATCTACCCAGATACACAACCACTACTATCACGCGACTACCTACCTACCTGTCTACCTAGGTAGGTACGCACACAATGTGTGTTGAAGTACGAGCTGCAACACCAAATGTAGATCTAACTTTTTCATGCAATAGGACGTCTATATCTATACCCCGTCCCCAAACCATCGGACACACCCATAGGTAGCCTACCAACAACCATCTTACCTACCGACCCAAATCCACCTGCCTAACAAGCACCATCTGGTCCTCGTCCCCCAAGCCCCCTCTCCTATCACCCTCACCCTCACCCTCACCCTCACCAGCAAAAAACGGCACAACAGCCCTCCCCAGAACCCCACCCCAAAGCCCCGCAACCAGACCCCGAAGCTCCTCCCCCGTCTGCTTGAAGTCCGGGAACGCATTGACCTCGAGCAGCCACGCGGCGCCGCCAGCATCAACCAAGAAGTCGAGCCCGTAGAC